CAATAACAAGACAAAATACCTCCCGCAAACACATAAACAGTCTTTGGGTATTAAGACACATGCCACTTTTGGCAGTTATAACTCGAAGTTTTTAAGGACTTTGTCTACCTAGGATCCAGTATAAACATCAACAATACTGTCAGTCTGGAAATCAAGCGAAGAATAAATGTTGTTAAATGGCGTTGCATTGGGCAAGGCTTCTCTCGACGAACAAAAATTATGCTATATATGAGCATTTTAACGATATGGATATGGCATGGATGGCGACGCTCCAGCGGTATATTTCAACTTGGCTTCCATGGAAAGCAAGGGCGCCCACGAACAAAATGGAAGGAACATGTGCAGAAGAACAAATCAGTAAAGGAGACAGACAATTGGCGGAAGTTTTTCTGTCTTGGTTAAAACTGAAAAACGGTTGTAGGGCCAAATATGAAGTGGAAGTGTGAAAAAAGAGAAGACACAGTAATAACAACAATAGTAATTTTTCCATCTGTTAGGGGTCTCATCCGAGATTTTGTGTTGGTTCTTCACTGCAGGTGTATGAGCTTTACAACGAGCGGCTTCGCTGACTTGGTCATGCCGTTCGAATGGACCCCGACGCTCCAGCTCTGAAAGTAATCAACTCGGCACCCACTGGTGGTAGCAAAGAAAGAGGGAGACCCCTACTGCGATCGAAAGACCAAGTGGAAGATGACTTTGTTTCACTTGATATTTCCGATTGGCGTCAGTTGGCACAGAAGATATACGACTGGCGTGCTTTGTTGAAGTCGACCAAAATCGCTTAAGCGGTTACAGTGCCAAATAATTGATTTGTTTAAATATTTATTGCTGGGTAAGATAATTTTGTTAATTTTTTTCTAGCGAAATCAAATATTTTACGCGCTAACATTTGTATGTACATAGATATGTGTGTATGTGTATGTGTGTTCATTGTATTTATGTACATATATATCTAATTTATTGTTGGGTTTGCTTTGCAAATTTACATAACAATACCTCAAAACCAGTTACCAAACACGTGCGAAAGCCTAAAAAAGCCGTAAAAAAATAACGAGAAATACCAACCCCTGTGCACAAAAATTTGTTCTTTCCCATTGTGATTGCCTAAATGCTGGCATACGTATCTCAGTGAAGAAATTCCAACAAACATTTTTCTAATGAAATGAATCCGGATTATTATTTTTTTTTGTGATTTTCACGACCCTTTGTCAAAACAATTTTTCGCAAGCATCAGGAAATAGTGTAAACTATCTTTTGTGATATGCTCTTAGAAAAGATAAAATGAATTTCTCTTAACTAAAGAGAGCATACCATTAGTCACTTTCTCCGTCTTCTTCTATGATGTTCGCGCGTAATGAAGATAAGAGATCGGTATGAATGGCAGTTTGGAGTATTTGCTTAAAAGCATTTCCTGTATGTAACTTTCCTGTTATCAAATCATTAAACCCATGTAAAAAATTCAAAAATGAGAGCGCAGGTTAAATGTAAGCTCATATGAGTATTTAAGTGTAAATGTTATATTTCCATCGGTGAATACATGTGGATTGTAAACACATATGTAGGTAAATTCGTACATATGTACATAAATATATGCGGCCGGCAAGCTAGCCGCAACAGAAAATATTGCATAATGTACATTTAAATTCATTGTATATATGTATTTATGCAGTGGCGGATTTACCAGTCAGTAAAAGAAGCAATGTTTACACGTCCGGATATTTATATCCACGTATCGACGGCTGAATGGAAGATCGTCCTATCTCGGAGGCCAGTTCGAAAACTCTCTATCTCAAAAAACATTTCAAGAACGTCCTATTTCAGAATTCGTTTCAAAAGCGCCCTATCTCAGCTGTCGATTCAAAAACGCCCTATATCAGCATATTTTCAATACATTTTGAAGTTAGATAGGACGTTTTTGAACCGAATTTTGAGATAGGGTGTTTTTCAATTAAATTCTGAAATAGGGCGTTCTTGAAAAGTTTTTTTGAGATAGAGCGTTTTCGAACTGGCTGCCGAGATAGGTCGATCTTCCACTCAGCCATCGGTATCCTCTGGGTAAGGACCAAACACGCTTTGGGAACGAGCTAAAGTGAGAAGGCGTAAAACTGCGCGTGCGCTGGGTTTGAGTCCCGTCACGTTAAAACCCCGCCTAATGAAAAGGTAAACATGCCTGGGATGAGACCCCCTTCTTTTGATGACGACCACGGCAAACGTATAAAGAACTACGATTTTAGGGTATGCGCCTGGAGTTACCGTTCCCTTAACGGGGACGGTTCCTCTGCCCGGCTGGTTGATGTCCTCGGGAAGACAAAATCTGACATTACTGCCATCGAAGAAAGACGATGGACGGGGCAAGGAATGTAATGTGGAGCCTTTCGACATCAACCCAGTAATGGGGCGCAAATTCGGTGTTGGATTTGTGGCGCAAGAGACACTCCGTCGCCGAGTTCTGGCTTGGTGGACGAATGTCTAGTCACAATCCGCATTAAAGCGAGATTCTTCAACATGTCGCTCATTCGTGCCCATGCTCCGATGGAAGAGACAGAGTAGGCGTCCAAGGTTTTTTTCTATGAGCGCATGCAGCGTATATATGAGCACTGCTCTCGACACGATATAAAAATCGAACCTTGCGGTTTCAATGCCAAGATGGGCAAAGAAGGGATCTTTGCCTCTACGATGAAACGTCCGATAACGGACTGAGGCTGATCAACTTCGCCGGGGTATTATGTTGTACTAGGTTCCAGCATTAAAAGATCCATCAAGCCACATGCCTGTCTCTAGATCGAAAAACGCGAAACTAGATCGAACCTGTTTTGATAAACTGAATACATACTTCCAGTGTTTTAGACGTACGTACTACGTACTCCTAGAACCAAACATCGACTCGGACCACCATCTTGTTGCAGCGACGATACGCATCCGTCCCTGTGCAGAAAAAAAATTGCGCTCAACAATGCAAAGAAAGCTTAACGTCGAAATGCTACCGCTAATTCGTTCGACACTCTACTCTCACTCCTGCTCTCTGAGAGCACTCTTCAACAAACCGACATACGAGAGCAGTGGAATTACATTTCCCGCTCATTACGTACCGCCACCAAAGAAGTAGTGGGATTTCAGCGAGACCGAAAGCACAATTGGTACAATGAGGACTGTGGAAATTGTACCAAACGTCAGATAAAAACATACCAAACAATTTTTAACCCTTTCACTAAAACAACAAATGTTTAAAACAAATACATATTTATTTAACGCCTTTTAAATAAACATCGTGTAAAAATATACCTATCGATGGTCCTGTGCAATAACGACACAATTTAAAATTCAAAAAACAAAAACTGTTACTACCGTTAAGTGACTCTTGTCTCTAATCCTTGTCTAATCCATTTCCATCCCTGACTAAAGTAAGCAGTAAGGATTACTAAAGTGAGTACAAAAGATGAGACATGGATTCGACAAAGATTCAATCAAAAGTCACTTAAGTAAGTAGTAAGAGTAGTAACTGTTTTTATTTCTTGAATTTTGAATAGTGTCGTTATTCCACAGCACCATAGATATATTTATTAAAATTAGAGAAAAATTTGTCAAGCATTTCACTTTCTGTGAGATCGTAAATCACATTTTGGTTTAAAGACTGTATGTATTTTTATATCATGACAATAATTTTGAGAATACTTGATATAATCTTAATTAATGGTTTTTATTTGTAATCCATTTCTACGTTTAGTTTTTATCACACTCTGAACAGAAAATATACGTTCAACATTTGCGGAAGAATGTCGAATAGAAAACATACCTTGAAATATTTTAAAAATCATCGGGTCTTTCAGTTCGTTTTTAATTAATTTAATTTGTTCCCAAAACTCGCATATATTTAAATTTTTTAACTTCTCGTGCTCCGATAGAAAAGGACAAAACCATGAATATAAGAAACCGGAATTGCCAACCTTGTAGTGTCGAAGTTTGTATGAAGTAGAGAAGGAAGAAAGTATTTGTATAAATAAGTAGAAGTCTTTAACCAACGTAAATATAAATTTTTTTTTTTACTTTTTTTAAAGATTGATTTACGAAAAACTTAAATAACTGGACCAAAACTATTCTGATTTAGCCTTATGGGATCTCGGTAGAAAGGAATTTTCTCACTTCTTTTATTTATGTGCAAAAAAGTCATTCGTGTCCCATTTTTTTTTTCAAATACCAACACATCTTAATTCAACTTTGAATGATGTTCGTTTTTCCTAATCATAAAAAGGGTGAGAAAATACCTTTCCAATGATACCTCACAAGTCTAAATTGGAAGAGTTTAGGTTTAGTTATTTAAGTTTTTCTTATACCAAACTTTGAAAAAAGGTAAAATACAGCATCAAAAATCTCATTATTACGACTCTGTTCAAACATTTTTTTTACTTATTTTTAAAATATTTTTATGTAAGTTTTTTAAGCTTAAACTGTTTTGTCATTTTAAGGGATTTTTTCAAAAAACAATTTTAAGAAACTATTTTTTATTTTGGAGGTATTTTCAAATCGGTCCAGCTCGCTTAAATCTTAATATTTTTCCAAAATATTTTGGTGGACGTCTTAAAATATAATAGGTTTTATAATCCCAATGGAAAAACAGAACCGATTGTTTTTTTTTTTGTATGGGGATGCAGTCTAATGTACATATATAAATACAAGAGTCATAAACATGCGCCGGATACTCAGGAAATCGCCCCAACAATGTACCAACTCTGGGTACTCGTATATCGCATGTAAATGTAAATTAAGAGCGCACTTTACGGTACTGTAAGAGCGGTCTCGCTAGGCTCCAACCCGCATCGACCATGTACATCATACATGCACACATTCAAATGCGCATATGTATGTATGTAGATGGGGGCGCTGGGGTTCGGCTACAGAGAGACAGAAGCAGCGACTGCGACTGCGACTGTGACAGCGACATCGGCGGCATCGGCAAGTGCCCATGGCTCGTTGGTTTATTGGCTGGTTGACTGGCTGGCCGGTATGCCAGGGCATGCTTCGAATTCATTGCAGACAGACGTTCAACGGTCTTCGACGACGCAAGACCAGATCAGTTCAGATCAAGATCAGTGGCCCGGTGGCATGACGCGATCAAAAATTTACAAAAGTACCTAAGCTATAGCAACAACACTCTAAAATAATACGAATGTGTATAAGGAAAATAACATAAATGAAGATATAACAAAAAAAGTAAAAAATAATATAAAATATCAACAAAAACAGTGATCAGTGATCGCATTTGATCGGGAGTTCGTTTTGTCTTACATTTGTTTTTTTTCGCCCGATTCATTATTTCTTTGTTGGGTGCCTTTATCTTTGTTTATTTAATGCCAACACACATTTTCCTTGTTTTCCATTGTTGATTAAACTAGATTATAAATGAAACAAAAATTATAATGCATATATAAAAAATGTAACGTGAGTAAAATAAGAGTGCAGAAAACGAAAAGTAGATAAAATTGTTTGAAAGTGAATATTAACCAAAAGTAAAGCGAAAAATATTTGAAAATATGTAATTCATATTTAGTGAAATGTAAAACCGATGAAAATTCATAATTTGTGAAAAATGTGTCAGCTGTAAACAATGTGGTATTTCTGAGCTTTCTGCTGCAAACAATTATACGGTGTTTTTAACGAAGTTCTCCGAGCCAATGTAGGTATTTGTGTAAGTTCTTCGTCATGCGGTTAATAATTTACTTACTTTCTCCCTGAAGGTGCAAATAGTTTTCTCAGTAACGAGGTTTTGAACTCTTTAAAGACTTTTCATGTGCCAGTTAATGTTTAAGGTTTGTTTTTAACCAGGTATTTAATTACTTATATAAAATTCGAGTATATGCATAAATACATATACATACATATGTGCATACATATTTCTACAACCAGAAAAGCTTAGAGCCGAAAACAGAAACACCAATGAGATAATCTAAGCTCTGTGAGGTGAAAGGCGCTAAGGCCCTAATCAAACTACATAAAACCAAAATATTTTTCCGATATCTCATAGAGATTATCAGCAGAAAGCGCTGTTGCCGTTTTCTTTTTTTAAAGTAGTAAAAACGTATTCTTTGGGGAGTATTTTTACATTTTGGTCAGTATGACTACGGTGACCAATCGTCCTGTTTTATTCGTGACGGTCCTATTTTTTGACCAGTCGTTCTGGCAATTCATTTATTTTATACGTGACGCCAAATGTTCTGTATTCCTTTTCATGTCCTGTATTTTCCCCGTATTCAGTGTTCGGCATTTCGATGCCTTAACAGCCCATTAAAATGGCATGCCTATGAACCTATGCCACTATTTTTATTGTTTTCCAGATACTTATAAGTGACATTCCAGATTATTTATCATCAGGAATAGGCGATCTCTGTAAGAAAAACTTGGATTTTAAGTTATTAGTTCTTTACAAGGACTAGTCTTATATGTGAAGTTTTAGTTATTAGGGAAGCCTCGATTTGACCTTATTTCGAGGGCTAATCATTTATAAAGAAAATCAGTGAAAGGAAAGGGCGCAATTTGTACAGTTTTTTTTGTCAAACGAAGAAACATTAAAAAGACAATTCCAAATATCGCATCGAGAAAATGACCTACAGAAAAATGCGAATATTTAGCAATTCCTGGATCCTTTATGGAGAACCATCCGCGCATAAAATCGAAAGAAGGGTTAAAATTGTTAGTAGCTGTTGTAGAGGCCTGGCATCGTGAAAAAATAAAACTACATATAGCCAAAGCAAAAAGTCTACACAGAAATGACAGAAGGCACATTGACCAGTTTTTTTCTTTTAGTTTCTTAAAAAAAGTCTTTTAGAAGACGAAAACGTGGTTCACGCCTATTCAGATGCGATCACTTTTAAATGCATTTTCCGAAAAACAAAGTTGATCTATCATTTTATTTGAAATGGCTGGATAGGTGCACAAAATTGTCAAATTTTTGTCACTCTCACTTTTTTTTATGAAATAAGGAATAACAATTAAATGTCGAAATGTTGACTTTGTGTATTACTCAAAGCAAGGTACATTGAACAGGTAGTATCAGTAGAGCAGCTGATTTGATTTATTTTCAAATTATTTGGTCTCGAAAATGTCAAATATTTTTAATTTTTTCTCACAAAAATTCTGAATTGTTAAAATCCATTTGCATGTGAAACCTTTTTCCATACAAAACAAGCGATTGAATAGCAGCTTTTGGAACGTTCGCCCAACTCAGCAGCACAACCGCTGATTACTGGCCCTTGTAAAGGATGGATCAATGCTTCGAGAAGCAAACAAATTTACTAGGAAAGAAAGTTGCATCAATTTTTATTTTTTCCAATTTCAATTTTTTATTTTTTATAATTTTTTGTATTTCACATGGCACGCTTTGATTTAGAAGAACAAATTCAGAACAGTTTTTGACACTTTCGATACCAGAAGCAACAACAAAATACACGCAAATGTTGTTTTTGCTCTACTGATACTACCTGTTTAATGTGTCTTGACTCAAAGTAAAGGGAATTTTTTCAATGAGACTTGATGCGAATACTACTATGCCGGAATTTCACATTAATTTGTCAATATTATTTAAATAGGTACTGCTTACATTCTTAAGCATACGCTGTGAGTAGTACATTATACTAATGGCAGCCATTCGACTTAATTTGTTATTCCTTATTGCCACAGATATTTTCATAATAAATTCATAAGGGACATAAATTAGGCAATTTATGCTGTACTAGATCGCCATCGTCCGCTTCGCTGAGTGTATGATATTTTTGCGTGCTACATTAGGTGTAATTTATTTCAATAAATCTCAATTTTTCCACCATCTTCAAAATATTTTCACACTAAAACTTTCTTAAACCTCTTTATTGTAATTCTTTTCCTATTATTATATACCCTGAATTCAAATATATATAGATTAAAAAAGGAACAACCTCCTTACATGTAGTTTAGAAATTAAGCCCTTTTGAAAACCATTTCGATTGATACCCCTATTATAATACTTGAATGAACTTATTGAATATGTAGTTTGAATTTAACTTTCTGAACGGATAGTTTGGGACCTTTTTAAACCTCTTTCGTCTCACACTCATATTGTGATACATACATATGCATTCAAATTACCTATTTCCTAAACACTATTATGTTTGACACTTTAATTTGAAATTAATAAATTTAAATTCGACTTTTACAACAGGTGGCACTCCTCCAAAATATTTTCCAACTAAAACCTTATTAAACCTCTTTGGTCCGAGATTAATATTGTGATACATATTCCAGTTATCGAATCCCCTTAATTCAAGTAGAAAATGATTTTTCAAACAGTGGTAACCGTCCTTCATGTAGTTCAGGCCCCTTTTCAAAAACATTTTTATTGACAATCATATAAATTAATTGAATTTAATTTTTAATCGGGTGGCAACCTTAGTAAAACACTTCAATAATATTCTAAATGTTAAATCTGAAGGTTTCTTAACAATCTTTCGTTTGACACTCATTTTAATTTTTCAGATAGCTTGCGACATATCTCCATACCAAATCCAGTACTGTGTCACAATAACTCGCCTCCTTGTACAATCGAGATTAAATCTATCCTATATTTTAGGTTGGACTCAATGACACCAGTGTACAAAATTGCACGATGATCAGTTGAGTAGTTAAAGCATAACAAATAAACAAACTCACTTTCGGATTTATAATATTAGTGAACTACTAGACAATAAATAACAAAAATTTTAATAACAAAGTTTTGTATGTAGTAAACATTTTCCACGTGTTCGTTTACAAATAGCATTTTTTAGATGACACCGAGGTGTATTACACGGTCAAAAATTTGGGTTTAATTTTTAAACCGAGCTGGGACTGCTGCCTTTTCGAAACTTTTATAGTCTACTTTTAAAACCAGTCAATAGTTTTAAGCAACTTTTAATATATTGTGGTTGAAATTTTAGTCCAGCAGAAAATGATGTTTTGTTATGAGCAGTTTAAAATTAAAACCAAAAAGTTCATGGTTTTAAATATAGGCCCTATTTGTTTAAAAATCAAACCAAAATGTTTTAAGTATAGTTTCTAGGTTCCATGTATAGAAAATTTTCTTTAAAATCTAAACCGAAATAGAAAATGTTTGCCTCAATATGCCTTATTTTATATGACCTATAAGACTTAGTCATATGGGTGTCTCTCAGAGAGACTGACGGCATCATCACAGCGAAATGTGGTGTTGATTCAAACTCAACATTTGAAAGCACATTTACATGCCTGTCTGTATCTGAGTGTCTGTCCGGGTTCAATCCCCATTAGACGGAACATGAAATTTAAGATTTTTTTTTTATTCTTAATTATAAAAAAGCTTTCGTGAAGTGTAACGTGAAGCAAACGAAATAGAAAATGTTTGCCTCAATATGCCTTATTTTATATGACCTATAAGACTTAGTCATATGGGTGTCTCTCAGAGAGACTGACGGCATCATCACAGCGAAATGTGGTGTTGATTCAAACTCAACATTTGAAAGCACATTTACATGCCTGTCTGTATCTGAGTGTCTGTCCGGGTTCAATCCCCATTAGACGGAACATGAAATTTAAGATTTTTTTTTTATTCTTAATTATAAAAAAGCTTTCGTGAAGTGTAACGTGAAGCAAACGAAATAGAAAATGTTTGGGTTTAAAATTTAAACCGAACTGTTTAGATTCTAAACCCAACATATGTGCTCTCATTTTTTTTTAAACTTGGAAGGTTTGTATTTAAAACTAAATTTAGTTTGGTCATATATGTAGTCCAACAAGTTTAAAATTAAAACCGAAATTTTTAACCGTGTAAACAAGGTGTGATTGACAACTCGGTGCGGCTCTCTTTTAGGGTTCTATAATGTCAAAAAATATAAACCAGCGCTTCAAAATGCAAACCTTTTTTGACGTAGAATACGTCTAACGTTATAGTTATAGTTGTAATTTTTAGAGCTTTACAGAAACGCTTATTGCACGAGAACTAGTGAAGCAATTTCAAAGAAAGGTGTGGCGTTTCAAAGATAAAATTCCAAACCTGTCGACAGATTCATTTTTTTAAGTAACCAGTTCGATTTCTGTCGTAGAAACAACGGTAAATATTGGCTTATTTTGGGTAAATTTTGGGCCATTTATTATGGCCTGCTGATATAACTTTCATTTTCGGGATATAGGTTACTTGGAGCAACAGTAATATTATCGTGTACAAATTTTATATATATTTATTTATATATATTCAACAAATATTTTTGAAAAAATTAGCAAACTTTTTTATTACCAAATATTTAATCAAAAATTCAAGTTTTTTCCTTTTGTTTGGTATATGGGAAGTATTGATTGATATTTTCTAAGTATGACTATTTGATTCAAATATACGGGTGTAAATGATTTGCCATACCAAATCACTTCGTTATCATTTTGTAGACACGTGCTTGCGCTGGAAATGAGAGAAGGAAACAAAAAGTATTTGTGTGCATTTCGGGTTTTGGGTGAAAGATGGCGCAGCTCCGGGGAAATATTTATAACCTTACCGCAGCATACACATGTACATATGTACACACATACGTACATATGTATGTTGATTAGAGTGATCAAAAAAATATAATAATTCCAAGATAGGATTTGGGGCACCTTCCAAAATTTTTCCTCTTGCCGAAAGAGGTGGTGGTACCAAACCTTACTTTTCTATGTATCCTCTATATATATACATGCTCATATATACGTGCTCATGGTACTCAAATTTTACTCTAGAAATATTGTGTACATATATTAATGAAACAATTGGTTAAATAACCTAAGAACATATAAAATTTAAACTAACTAAAAAAATCGCACAAGCTTCAGTTTTCATGTCAGCAGTAGATTTTTATAAAAAATCTCCAATCGTTTTGCCAGTTTCACAGCGATCTAGTAGCGCATTTCAAGTTCATTAAGCAACCTGAATCGGTTGCTGTAGAAAACTGAAAGCTGGTATGTATAGGCATTACAAATATCAAAAGGAAAAAACTAAGAGGTGCCCCGTTTTCTAGGATGAAATTTTTTCCCCATACAAAAATTGGACCACTCTAATGTTGATTGGAATTAAAGTGATCCGTTTCTCCTTTAGTATTCTATGTACATAAGTACATTGTCATACCATCAGATCTGTACCATGTAACATCAATCAAAATCTTTAAAAAAACTGTATTTTAAATTACATGTTGGAGAGTTGCCACTTTGTTTGAAAACTTAATTTAACTTTAATTAAGAGAATTAGATAAACTTAATAGGTATCGCAATACGGGTGTCGGATAAAAAAGGATTAAAAAGGTTTTAGTTTGAAATTATTTTAAAAACGGTTGCGATTTGTTTACAAAGTTAAATTCAATATACATATGCAATAGGTTAAACGAATTACTACGATATGGATATCAATGAAACTGGCCTTGAAAGGACTGTATTTCTAAACTGCTTGAGGGAGCGTTGCCAACCGTTTATAAAATCAAGTTGAAACTTAAATGAAGGCGATTAGAAAATTGAAATGTATATCCCGATATGAGTATCAGACGAAAGAGATTGTGGTTTGAAAATATTTACGAGGGAGTTGCCACCGTTTTACAAAGTTAAATTCAATGTAACGAATTACTCAAAAAAAGATATTTTTTTTCTAAACTACCTGTTTTAAATTTTATATTGAATCAAGGGAATCAGATGATGTAAATATGCATCACAATACGGGTGTCAGAAGTTTTAGTTTGAAGATAATTTGAAGAAAGTTGCTACATGTTTACCCAAGTAGCAGAGTTGCCTAAGGCTTTAGTTTGAAAACATTTTTAAATTTTGATATTTTTTTTAAAGCTGAACTTTTTTAAATTACACTGAAGTTACTGTCTGAAATATTAAAATATGGGTGTCAAACGAAGGAGTATTAGGAAATATTTAGATTGAACATTAACAAAAAAAATCAAAATACGTGAAATTTGATAAAAAAATATGGTTGGATTGGGCACATTATTGACGTATGTTTAAAATAAATAGTTTTTCTCTAGGGAACTTTTTTTAATATTAATCCGTGGCGAACCAAAGTATTGACACAGTGAATTTTTCGCAATATATGCAAAGCTTTTTATTCTAATTTACTTTCGACAATATTTTTTTTTTTAAATATAGTTTATACTACACGAAAACATATAAAAAGAAAATCTCTAAGCTTTGCGAAAATCTCAGGAAAATTCAATAAATCCACATACTAATTTGCATCAATGATGAAAGCAAAGTCCCAGAAGGGTTCTAACATAAGAAAGTACTCTTTTTGTATTAAGCCCTCCATAAATTTTTCTCAACAATTCATCCTATAACTTGAAATTATTCAGGTGAAAATTTTTGATGAAGAAGGTTGTGGTTGTTCACTTCTATTTAATTTTTTTATTAGCTTATCAAGATAAAAAGACTGCACAAGAGCTTGAACAATTGGTAATTTTATGTCTGAGAAAATTATATTTTTTTAGGGGCACTTTTAATCTGCAATTAAAAAATTCCAGCGTATGTAAGTATGTAGATACATATATATGTATTTAGAAATTGCGTAGATGTTCTTTCTGTGCTACGTATTAGGAAAAATAGTTTCTTTACTAAAGATTAATATAAAAAAAAAATTATTCATACTTCCGGACTTTTACTGGTTAATTAACAGGGAACGGATTTTTAGGACCTAAAAACCTTTAAAAAAAAAAACCGAAATAGGCAATAAAAGGCACTAGAAATCGCAAGAAAAGCAAGAGAAAGACAAAAAGTGAAAAGTAATCAAAATACACATTTATTTTAATTTACAAGTAAAAAGAGAAAAACTATGAACTAGCATCATTATATGAAAAAATTGTACTTTGAATCATCGACTATTTTCTCTTTTCTAGTTTTTAACTCACAAAACTTTGATCTTTATAGATGTAGTAACATTGAACCACAATATGCATTTTGAAGTTTTCTGGCAGCATCTTTATTCGGTTTTCGCGAAGAAAAGCCTTGAATGTACTAAACGTTCGCTGACGCGAGTTGATAGAAATGGCCCCCAATTTTCAATATGGAACGTTTAAAACTTTCATATTGTGTATCAGTAATAAGGGATTTTTCCTTGCCCTTTACAATTAAAGGTAGAAAAGGCAAAAAAGGCAAATGTCTTAAAAAGGGGAAACATCAAATGTGTATATGTACATACATATATGGAATCAGGGAAAACTAAATCTTAATCGAATATACTATATCCCTTTATCAGAGAAAAGGGTAATTTCCATAATTCCGTTCCCTCTTAATTAATGACACAAACAATCTAAGTAAAAATGGTCCGTAAGTCAGACAAATGGACACACATTTTTTGTTATTTTGATTTCTAGTTGAAATTCGGCATTAAATGGAGGAGACACTACGAAAACTTTGTTGTTGTGCATAAAAGCCCATTTTTTTGAAAGGAAATGTTTTCCCGAAGGCAGATTATCGTTTTTTTTTGCTTATCGTCGTTTAAAGTACAAAACCGCGTATCGTCGTTCTGCAAAACGAAAAAAAAAATAAAACTATTTTGAAATATGAGTTTTTTTACTATCCAGAAAATAATTTATGCAACCTCACATACGCGGTTTTGCATTTTGTTGATACGCAGTTTTGTACTCTAAACGATGTTATGCAATACGTTATATGTATGTATGTACATAAATACATACATGCCGTCGTTTAAAGTACAAAACCGCGTATCAACAAAATGCGAAACCGCGTATGTGAATTTGCTTAAATTATTTTCTAGAGACTAAATATACCCATATTTCAAACGGTTCTCTTTTTTATAAATAAATCGCATTTCTGGCTAGTGTATTTCAGGACGAATGGATAAGGATTGGGCCAAGCAAATCCAATTTTTGGCAGCCAATGTCAGTTACGCGGTTTTGCAGAATGACGATACACGGTTTTGTACTTTAAACGACGATATGTACATATGCATACATACATACATATATCTACATTCCGCATTGATCTTCTTCATTCTCATCACACAGTGCAAAATCGCAAGCAAAATTATACATATATCCGCACCTAATCGGCAGAGAGTGAGTGCAGCGAAACAAAATGTGCTTAAATCTGAATTCGGGCTAATTTCTTCTAAAATTAAAAATTAATGTGATTAACAAAGGCAGCACAGCTTTCCGAAAGCCCCATAAAAACATTAACCTGCCGGGAACAAATATAACAACTACAACAATAAACTCAACTCCTAAGTGAAGACACCGCCTTTCAAAAAAGGAGTGATAATGATTATTTCTAAAGATCTTTTCATATTCGGCGAACAAATTTTTGCAACAATTATACCAGAAGGCGGATCGTCACAGGCCGCACAACTACAGCACAACCAGGCGGTAACGCAGCAGCAGCAGCAACAACAACAGCAAGAATTACAGTCACAGGAACAACCACACCATCTGGCAATTATTAATACAACAACATTCACGACCAACGTCGAGACAGCGACACAAATATTGTCGGCAGTGAATGCAGTTAGCGCCGCAACAACAATAACGACACCAACAGCCCCACAAACGAAAGCAACTACAGGCCCAACGACCAAAGTGATCGGAGGATCGTTGGTAGTAGCAGCGGCACCAGCAAAAACAACAACAACAGTCTTCCAAGCAGCTGAACCCACCGTTCACGTTGATGCGAAGTCGCATAAGAATACGAATGCGAAATTGCGAAAAGTCCCAAAGGAAGTTGAGCTAAAGTGCACACATCACTACCATAAACCGCAACAACAACAAACGAAAACAAGAAAGAGGGAAAGCCAACAAAAGGGCCAAAGCGGTGGCGAGAACGACTCCATGGCAAATAAAATAAACTCAACTAGCACGGGAAAGCAGCAACAACAACTGCAGTCGCAGTCGCAGCACGAAACTTTTGTGAGTGGCTTTAGTGCAACTTCAGCATCAGCTACAACAACAACAGCAACAGTTGCAATACCAACAACACCAAAAACGGCGACTGCGAGAGCCGCACCAGTTTTGCCGGCTTCAGTAATTGTTCAATTGGAGGAAGAAACTAGCGCCGAAAAGGAACCATTAGTGAAGAGAAACTTTGCGAAAATAATTGCAACACCAGCAATAAGTACATTTACAGCTGCAACGGTGGGCACAGGAGAAGCAACCGGCACGGGAATAGGCAACAGCACAACTGCAATAGCGGCCATTGATGAAACAAATCAGACAAACGATTTCATAACAACACACATACACGAAGTGACGCCATTGCTGGCGGGCGAATGTGTTGAATTGCAAATGCAACAACACCAACAATTACAAAAGCAAGAGCATACAATCACTGAACAACGTCTACAACTCCACCAACGATCGCCATTACCGTCTCTGCCCTTGTCACCGCCAGAGGACATCGATCTGGTGGGCACCGACGAGCTACCATCCGCTTCGACTGCGACCACTACGCCACCAGCAACCACAACAACAGCAACAAGCGTCGCTACTTCCGATCGCAGCAGTTACGCCACGGCTGCTGTTGGCGAGCCACCTTTTGCCGGACACAGTTCAAGTCTCAACTCCGACGAGGACCTGCCATCGTTGACAACAACAGCAACAACAACAACAACAGCCACAATGAGCAAAGTAATTTTGGACAACAACACAAGGTTGGTAACATTATTGCACATTTTTTATTATTGTTCTTATTTCCTGTTTACGTGCAGCTGATGTCGCTATTGCAAACAAATTTACGTACTTACATACATATGTATTAAAGTATATACACACATGCATATGTACATACATATATACTTCTGTATATATGTACATACGTACATACATATGTATGTGAGTTTGTAAAATTGTTGTTTACCCGTTTTCGAATTCGCAATTTGTGGTAGTTGTTGCTGATAGTTTTTTGATCGACGAATTGTCGGTACTCGCGGCAACAAGACACATAAGTTTATGTACATTAGGGTAGTCCAAAATAAGTTAAGTCGGAATTTTAATGCTCACACCCCCTCGGATTGTTCTATATCGAAATATACACCCCTATTTTTTATTTTGAAATCAAAACTTATTTAGAGGTCGCTCAAAGCGCTCAAACTTTTCCATGTATATTATACCTATGGGAAAAAGCAACTTTTGGTGAAAATGGTATGGAATTCTTGAAAATCAATATTTTTCTATCGGAAAACTCTGGTTCTCATCAAGAGACTTCCAATACAATACCCAATTTTTTATTTAACCATTTTTTAATATAAAGATTTTTTATTTACCTCCATTGAATTTTCTGGCATTTTCTAGGGGTTTTGGGGGGCCTATAAAATATAGTTACTATGAAAAAATGGTTAATGGAAATCTCCTGAAGAGAAACAGAGTTTTCCGCTTGAAAAATATTGATTTTCAAGAATTCTATACAAATTCTACGAAGAGTTGTTTTTTCCCATGTAAAATACAAGGAAAACTTTGAGCGTTTTGAGCGATGTCCAAATATATTTTGATTTCAAATTAAAAAAAAAATGTGGGAATATCTTTTCCGGTATAAAACAATCCTAGGGGGTATGAGCGACTTTACTTTTTCTCATGCATTTTTGGACCTCCCTAATGTACATATTTAATTACATACATGAATCTGTATGTTTGTATATCTGTTTTTATTATTGTGGTTACACCGGATTGGCCTTCATTTTCTTCTTCTTAGCGGGACCATAGTTTGACTAGTAATTTTTTTCCGGATTTCAAAGTCCCTCATGAGTAACATAAATCACACATTCGTTTTGGAATCAATCCTCCTTCCCGCTTTTTTTTATTTATGTACGTACATAGGTATATAATTAAAAAAACTGCGTTCCATTATTTTTCATTCATCTTCACTTATCTGCGTAAATTACTTCCTTTGACCAGTTATCTCAATTATTTCAATTTCTATTTACTAGACTAGTAGAATGAAATTATAGTCACCATAAAATTAAGAATCTTGGTAAGTGTTACAGCTTTCTATGATCTTAAAGAGCGATGAATAACACCTTGAAATGGGGTCATATGTACCTAAGTAAAAAAGTTATGAAAAAATACGATACTTTGGGGCCTAGTTTTTCCGAAGATTTTCATGTGGCCAAATATTCCCTCGAAGTAAGCGCCCAAAGTAGAGTGTGTTTGCGTATATTAGGGATGTTGCAATCGGGGAAAAATTAGTATTTTTTTTATAACTAACCCTAAGCTTTGAAGATCTTACAGCAAAAATCTTTTGTTTTATGAGGTCAATTGCAAGCCTGTAAAATATTATCCTTTAATTTGAAGCGCAAGAACCCGCGCATCGATCACCAAATGTAACAAAGCACACTGGTCCGATAAGACGAATCCTTGTTACAAATTCAAAGTTTAGGTTTGGGTTTTTCTATTAGAGAATAAATATTTTGGCAGTCCTATAATTCAGGGTTGCTATCCAAGTTACCTTTTTTTAACAAATGTATAGATTTTTCTATTGATTACGTTGCTGGTTTCAGACGAAAGAAGGCAAGAACAGTATTCTTATTTCCGGGGTGAGTTTAAGGCACTGATTCTGACTATACCCTCCGTTTTGTCAAATTGGCTCGGGGTTGCGAGTTATGCGAATTTAGGAACAATTTTGATAGTTAAATTAGCAAAAACCTATATTTTTCTATAATTTTATAAATAACTTAGAAATATTTGCAAGGTAATGCGGATCGAGTTAGCTAGGGAGTCATGAGTTCCATTGCAGTTCGAAACACTTCATTACTATTCAGATTCCTCCAAAAAGCTTCCTGGATCTTTCAAGGACTTCATGAGTTTTACTAAACTTTATCTCAGTGTATCCTTTTTATGCTACTCTGCTGGCTTATCAAGAGGATAGATCAAATTAAAAGAATGAAGTAATGTACCGAAAATGGATGTGGATCCACTTATTCTTATTTAGTGATTGAAAGTATTCGAACTCACCATCAAATCGCATTGGTTTCATTAACTATATTTTCAGAACTGTCTAAATCGGAGTTAACTACACCTATGCACCTTTAAGTATAATATAAACATACAAAAACTCGAAATATGCTTGAAATAATATTCGTACCATTTTTTTACACTCAATCATTTGGTTATTTAATAAACAAGGTACGGAAAATGTTTATGTATGAGAAAAGATTATTCTCTGCATGTTCTTCCAAAATATATCGACAACTATAAATCTTATGAGAAAATGATATTTCAATATGAGATAATTAATTATATAACCTTTAATCTGATATTCTGTCGGCCGCTGTGGTGTAGTGGTAAGCAGTGCGCGCTTTCACTCATCAGCACCTGGGTTCAAGCCCTGGTCAAAGCAACATCGCAAAAAAATATAGAAAAAACGGGTTTTTCTTAACAGCGGTCATTCTTCGGCAGGCAATGGCAAACCCACGAGTGTATTTCTGCCATGAAAAAACAGCTTCTCATAAAAATACAATCGCCGTTCGGAGTCGGCGTAAAACTGTAGGCCCCTCCGCTTTGTGTGACAACATCAAGGCGCACGACACAAGTTGGAGGAGAAGGTCGGCCAAACACTAACATATGTGCAAGCGCCAATCTATTATTATTATTGATCTGATATATCGCTTGTTTCAATCAATTAACGTATTCCCCAGATATTAAGAACAAAAGTTACTTTTTCAAAAATTTAGATCCTATGGATCAATTTCGGGGGCTAAAGATAAGCTTTATTTCAATCTTTTGTGGCCAATTATTATTTTCCTAGTCCTAAAACAATGTAGTATTACTATTAGAATACAACAAAATGGCCTTTATTTCCCCTCATACAAACTCGACCCAGCTTAATACTTATCCATGCATATGTATTTACATAAATAGTTCATATGTGTAAAATTCTTAAGTCTCTTTTACGTAAAGCAAACATTATAATTGCCCAAAATGCATGTAGCCACACAATTACATACATACATACATCTAAGTACAATAGGGGTATTCACAATTCGGTGCATACTGTCTAGCATGGCGCATAGATAGAATAAATAGCATGATTGGGTAATTTTGTTGTTGTTTCATGTGCTCAAACAACAACAAATTTATCCAATCATGCTACTTATGCTATCTATCCACCATGCTAGACAGTATGCACCGAATCGTGAATACCCCTAATATATTTTAGTTCAAATGCACACTCGTTTCTTTCGTGTTTTGTTTTCTTTTCTCCATAATCTTGCCGAAAATTTGGGTTAACTTCCAAACAACTTGATAAACAACAACAAAATGCATTCCTATTAATAACACATACAAGTCATATATAATTCATTCAGCTTTAATGGCAGCACAACGTTCATGCATGCTTGCATACTCAGTTGGAAGACCAAAAACAGATGACTGCATCTGCAGCAACTCGATGGTATAAAATTGGAACACATTGAGATCTGCTTTAATTGTGTGCATCCTCAAAAAAAGAAAGAATGCAGCAGAAACTTGAAACTCAGCTTAAAATTCTTTGTTATTTTTTTCTTCTTGTTTTTGAAAATGTGGCACACATTTTGTTTTGGAATTATACTGCCAAAAATTTACTGAAAGCATTTAGTTAAAGTTGCACGGGCTTTAGTTTGAGTTGTTTAACAGCGTTGGAGAACAGGTTAAATGCACATATGAACGTATGTATGTATGCACATATGTACTTAAATGTTTCGAATTTCGAGAAAAAATGATGTGTACCTGATTATGAAGGTGTCACAAGGGTTATTTATTTATTATCTTAGGTCTCTTAAACATTAGGGCTGTTCAGGATATTGCGCAAATGCACAGTTGCAAATTTTATGCTTGCTACCATGTTAACCGTTTCCATTTATCGTTGCGAATTTACAAATGCACCGAAATATGCAAATGCAAGACCGCAAGCACAATATCCTGATTGCCTATTGAGTAATCGTCGGAGATGCGATAGCAACGATGTAAAAACGTTCTTCATTATTTTGGTTATGAGTTTTGAAACGCTTACGACTACCAAATTTTCTCAAAGGATTTACATTCCCAGATATGTGGTTGCTTTGTAAAATAAATTCTATTCAAATGGCTTAACTGTTAAGTGTACCACGACCAACTCTGAAAAAGCAGAACAACAAACATTTGTCGAGCCCGATGATGTCGATGTCATCGGCTTACCAAAGTAATTGTAACCTCTTGTAGCTAAGCGCTTCAGCCCTTGTTATCTTTTCCAGCATCAGATTAAAGAGAAGCTTGCCATTTCGAACGGAACTGTTGAAATTTCCCCACCTCATTAGCAGTAATAGTTTCGCGGCGATATCAAAATCATACAACTCGGCTAATATGGGCCTTTTGAAAATCGGCGATGTTACACTTACATTGCTGAATCAGTTCGTTGACGGTAGATTTCAACCTTTCACACAATAAGCTCAGAATACCGATCCTGCGATAGTTGCGCATGTGGCGCGGTCGCCTTTTTCGACTGGACAGAACATATTTAAATTTCAGTCGGTTGCGTTGGTTCGACCATATTATGCATAAGATTTAATGCATGCACCCTATAAACTCCTCGCCGCCGTACTTGAATAGCTCATCTGGGAAGCCCACAGCGTCAGCAGAATGGCCGTTTTCAGCTGCTAAATAGTCCGGCGTTAGATTCCGTAGCCATCTTCACTGCTTTCAGTGCTGTTATCATTGATTCCTTATTAATTTCTTGCTGCAGATCTCAGCATGGCCTTACAGGC